GGATTATGCGCGACAGTTAGTCCAGTCGATGCCTATGTACTCTTACATGTATACGTAGTTCGCTGTTTCGATCTTTACGAGGCACTATCGTGAATGAACTTTTATCGCTGTGTTGTATGTGCCAATGCTTGCCTAGGACTACATGTACCAGCTTTTTAACTTTTCTATCCTGATAAATATAAAATTAATAATAAACAAAGATGGAGGTAAATTCACATGAGCAATACCAAGAGTGCATGAATGCAGCGCAGGCGCTACTACCAGCGCACACGCGAAGCGCGCGAAAAAGCAACTTTGCTGACATATTTATTAAACTAATGGTGTGATTTAGCTAAACGAGCCTACTACGGAAAGCCCTGCCTTAGCTCTATAAAGCAGTATTTTTTTGGTAGATCATAGTCAAACAGCAACGAAGTACAGAGCAAAAGAGCGTCATTCGTTTTGACGGGGTGGACGTCTGGTTTCGCAGTGGGCTTCCCGGTGTTGGAAAATTGCTGAGGTTTTCAAAAGAGATCGATTTTGCTACGGTCTTACAAGATGTGAAAATAGTTCTTCAAAAGCTGCTGTCTGTGCCGCGTTGTGAATTTCCGACCAAATTCGCGTTATGCTCTTACAAAATGAGGTCGAAATAACATGAAATTTGTATTTTGAGTGACTCACTAAATAGGTAGCGCCCCTTCTGTGACATCACCTTCTTTTCCCGCTTACGTACGGGTGATACATTTTCAAGAAATTCTCTCTCCCCCCTTTTTCCACATTTCAGAATCCATCGGCGCGTGTAGAGATGGTGAAGCTTTTCTGTTCTATTGTTGGTGTGGCGGGAAGCGCGTTCTCCGTGGAAGTAGACGAAGGCAAAACTGTGGATGACTTGAAGGAAGCGATCAAGGCGAAGAAGGCCAACGACTTCAAAGAGGTTGATGCAGACAAGCTGCAGCTCTTCCTGGCGAAGAAGAAGAAAGGCGCTGGGGTGTGGCTAACGGAGAACGACGTGAAGGACGGTGTCAGTGACACGAGTGATTTGAAGCTATTGGGCGTTGCAGGAGCGCCGCTCAGCTTGGTTGGCTTGTCGGAGAAGGACGTCAAGTTCGTACCCACGCTAGAGGATGTCGAGTCGATGAACACACCTGTTCACGTGCTGGTGGTGGTTCCGGAGCAAGACGGTACTATCTCAAAAGAGATGTCTGCAGCGACAACGCCACTGACTGTAGAGCAAGTGGAGATGTCAATGAATAAGGTCCTCAGGGAACGAGATGAGAAGGCGTCTGCGTATTCGTTTTCCGATCTGAATACTGCGATGGAAGAGCGAATTGTCAAGAAGATGCGCTTGACCGAAAATATTCCTGATGTCAAGGAGCCAGTCGATACTTCCATCGCCGGTTATTTGTGGATGCCAAAAATCGTGGAGAGCGAGGAAAGTCAAAGGGCTGGGTACATGGCGTACTTGCAGCAGCATTTGAAGACGCTGATAGATCGAGGAGACTTCTTGTTGGATGACATTGCGGGCGATAAATCAGTTCTTAACATCGTGGACCCAAGACTTCCGTTTGCTATGAAAGGCACAGCTGATGTATTGCTCATCAATCGAACAGCGAAAAACCCACTGATTAAGCTGGCTGGGGTCAGCTTGGTGATCGAGCTCAAGAAGAAAGTCGAACCGGGCCATGTTCCTCAAGCAATTGGTCAACTTGTGAGCTGCAGCATGAAGGCGCCTCTCAATTGCTATCCGCTGAGTTTGTTGACGGATTTAAACGACCACTGGCATTTCTCTTGGTTCAGCGACAAGCACATTCTGACCCAAGTTACGCTGAAGTATCCAAAGAACGCGTTCAGATTTATCGAGGCAGCCGTACTGGGACGAACGGATTCTGCCCCACCTCCTCCGTCATTCATGCCTGGATCTTTCAAGACAATCAAGGTTGATGACTTCTTGCCCCAGCCGGTTGATGCTCGTGCAGAGGAGATGATGGAACGATACGAGTTGATGGCAGATGTGGTGGAACCAGAGTTTCTCATGGCGAGGCGGATGGATTATGCGCGACAGTTAGTCCAGTCGATGCCTATGTACTCTTACATGTATACGTAGTTCGCTGTTTCGATCTTTACGAGGCACTATCGTGAATGAACTTTTATCGCTGTGTTGTATGTGCCAATGCTTGCCTAGGACTACATGTACCAGCTTTTTAACTTTTCTATCCTGATAAATATAAAATTAATAATAAACAAAGATGGAGGTAAATTCACATGAGCAATACCAAGAGTGCATGAATGCAGCGCAGGCGCTACTACCAGCGCACACGCGAAGCGCGCGAAAAAGCAATTGTGAATTTCCGACCAAATTCGCGTTATGCTCTTACAAAATGAGGTCGAAATAACATGAAATTTGTATTTTGAGTGACTCACTAAATAGGTAGCGCCCCTTCTGTGACATCACCTTCTTTTCCCGCTTACGTACGGGTGATACATTTTCAAGAAATTCTCTCTCCCCCCTTTTTCCACATTTCAGAATCCATCGGCGCGTGTAGAGATGGTGAAGCTTTTCTGTTCTATTGTTGGTGTGGCGGGAAGCGCGTTCTCCGTGGAAGTAGACGAAGGCAAAACTGTGGATGACTTGAAGGAAGCGATCAAGGCGAAGAAGGCCAACGACTTCAAAGAGGTTGATGCAGACAAGCTGCAGCTCTTCCTGGCGAAGAAGAAGAAAGGCGCTGGGGTGTGGCTAACGGAGAACGACGTGAAGGACGGTGTCAGTGACACGAGTGATTTGAAGCTATTGGGCGTTGCAGGAGCGCCGCTCAGCTTGGTTGGCTTGTCGGAGAAGGACGTCAAGTTCGTACCCACGCTAGAGGATGTCGAGTCGATGAACACACCTGTTCACGTGCTGGTGGTGGTTCCGGAGCAAGACGGTACTATCTCAAAAGAGATGTCTGCAGCGACAACGCCACTGACTGTAGAGCAAGTGGAGATGTCAATGAATAAGGTCCTCAGGGAACGAGATGAGAAGGCGTCTGCGTATTCGTTTTCCGATCTGAATACTGCGATGGAAGAGCGAATTGTCAAGAAGATGCGCTTGACCGAAAATATTCCTGATGTCAAGGAGCCAGTCGATACTTCCATCGCCGGTTATTTGTGGATGCCAAAAATCGTGGAGAGCGAGGAAAGTCAAAGGGCTGGGTACATGGCGTACTTGCAGCAGCATTTGAAGACGCTGATAGATCGAGGAGACTTCTTGTTGGATGACATTGCGGGCGATAAATCAGTTCTTAACATCGTGGACCCAAGACTTCCGTTTGCTATGAAAGGCACAGCTGATGTATTGCTCATCAATCGAACAGCGAAAAACCCACTGATTAAGCTGGCTGGGGTCAGCTTGGTGATCGAGCTCAAGAAGAAAGTCGAACCGGGCCATGTTCCTCAAGCAATTGGCCAACTTGTGAGCTGCAGCATGAAGGCGCCTCTCAATTGCTATCCGCTGAGTTTGTTGACGGATTTAAACGACCACTGGCATTTCTCTTGGTTCAGCGACAAGCACATTCTGACCCAAGTTACGTTGAAGTATCCAAAGAACGCGTTCAGATTTATCGAGGCAGCCGTACTGGGACGAACGGATTCTGCCCCACCTCCTCCGTCATTCATGCCTGGATCTTTCAAGACAATCAAGGTTGATGACTTCTTGCCCCAGCCGGTTGATGCTCGTGCAGAGGAGATGATGGAACGATACGAGTTGATGGCAGATGTGGTGGAACCAGAGTTTCTCATGGCGAGGCGGATGGATTATGCGCGACAGTTAGTCCAGTCGATGCCTATGTACTCTTACATGTATACGTAGTTCGCTGTTTCGATCTTTACGAGGCACTATCGTGAATGAACTTTTATCGCTGTGTTGTATGTGCCAATGCTTGCCTAGGACTACATGTACCAGCTTTTTAACTTTTCTATCCTGATAAATATAAAATTAATAATAAACAAAGATGGAGGTAAATTCACATGAGCAATACCAAGAGTGCATGAATGCAGCGCAGGCGCTACTACCAGCGCACACGCGAAGCGCGCGAAAAAGCAACTTTGCTGACATATTTATTAAACTAATGGTGTGATTTAGCTAAACGAGCCTACTACGGAAAGCCCTGCCTTAGCTCTATAAAGCAGTATTTTTTTTGGTAGATCATAGTCAAACAGCAACGAAGTACAGAGCAAAAGAGCGTCATTCGTTTTGACGGGGTGGACGTCTGGTTTCGCAGTGGGCTTCCCGGTGTTGGAAAATTGCTGAGGTTTTCAAAAGAGATCGATTTTGCTACGGTCTTACAAGATGTGAAAATAGTTCTTCAAAAGCTGCTGTCTGTGCCGCGTTGTGAATTTCCGACCAAATTCGCGTTATGCTCTTACAAAATGAGGTCGAAATAACATGAAATTTGTATTTTGAGTGACTCACTAAATAGGTAGCGCCCCTTCTGTGACATCACCTTCTTTTCCCGCTTAGGTACGGGTGATACATTTTCAAGAAATTCTCTCTCCCCCCTTTTTCCACATTTTAGAATCCATCGGCGCGTGTAGAGATGGTGAAGCTTTTCTGTTCTATTGTTGGTGTGGCGGGAAGCGCGTTCTCCGTGGAAGTAGACGAAGGCAAAACTGTGGATGACTTGAAGGAAGCGATCAAGGCGAAGAAGGCCAACGACTTCAAAGAGGTTGATGCAGACAAGCTGCAGCTCTTCCTGGCGAAGAAGAAGAAAGGCGCTGGGGTGTGGCTAACGGAGAACGACGTGAAGGACGGTGTCAGTGACACGAGTGATTTGAAGCTATTGGGCGTTGCAGGAGCGCCGCTCAGCTTGGTTGGCTTGTCGGAGAAGGACGTCAAGTTCGTACCCACGCTAGAGGATGTCGAGTCGATGAACACACCTGTTCACGTGCTGGTGGCGTTGCCTCCTGGGACAAGTAGTGCGCCTATTTCTGATGGGACGGACTTATGGCTGTCGAGATTTCAACATTGTGAAGTTGCAAAACTTACGCTACTGCCGACACGCGGAGATCTAAATGAATTTATCGGACAACCTCTCCCTGTAAAGATTGGGTTACCGCAGTCTGTGTTTCAAGCTTGGTCGAGTCCATTGATACTAGGCCAACTCCTTCGAGATAAATTGTTCGAGCTAAACGACATTTCGCCGTGCGATTTTTTAAAAGATTCGGTGTTTAGCGCTGCGTTCCTGTACCCGCAGGTGGATGGGGATGCCACAGAGAGTGCATTTCATTATTTCTGGGATTCAATTATCCGTGTGGTGCTCGGGTTTGTGTTTAGGCGTGCTTACGTCAACCGGGATTCGAGCAGGAAATCCTCGTCAGGTTTAAAGCGACCCGACTTTTTGTTTGCTTTGGATCATATCTGTGTTTTTCGTGGTGAGGAGAAAGAACCTCGTACTTCTATCACTGTGCCTCGTGAGGAGCTCTCGAAAAAGCTGGTGTGGTCCTACGGTGGAGTGCCGTATGTGTTTGGCTATGCTGCGTCGGGCTTCGAGCTAGAATTATTTGCTATCTATCAAGACGTCACGGGCAACGTTAAAACCCACCTTATTGGAGGGTTCAACTTGCAGCATGCGCCGGAACGTTTTCGACTTGTACTGGCACTTCTGAATTTGTGTCTGCTTTTCCCGGCAATTGTGCAAAACTGCCCGGCCTCGGCAGGGACCGAGTTTATGGACATCCATCGCGCCAATGGCGTCAAGGTGCGGTTGAGTCCGATTTTCGTCGATAAGATCTTTCATACGCAAGAAGAGTATCGTCGCGTGAAGCAGATCTACGATTCTTTGAAAGCTTATGGGGTTCCTTGTGCCGATGCAGTTGTCACGGTGGATTCAGACCAATTGAGGTTGACACTTAAGCCCCGCGGCATTGAGATGAAGCCATGCAGCTTGAGTGAACTGTTCGTCGCGCTCGGGAACGTTCTCGAGGCCCTTGTAGTCCTCCATCGCAACGGGTGGATGCACAGAGACATCCGTTGGTCTAACGTGATCAAGCATATCGACCGCGTTGAATGGTTTTTGATCGACTTCGCTGATGCAGCTCAAAGTCCGCAGAAATATCCCAGCGGCGATCACTTGACGCACGACGAACACGCTTCAGATATTTTTATGGAAGGTGGATCCCACACGACTGCGGTTGACTTATGGGCCGTGGGATACCTGGTGAAGACAAGTAAGATTGAACGGGAATGGACTGCGGAGCCCGAAAGAGTGCTTTTCCTAGATCGGTTGATGAACACAGACCCGAGTGCTCGGCCGACGGCAGACGAAGCCTTACAGCTTCTGTCACGTTTTGAACGTGAAGCTGCTGAGCAGGAATCACAGGGCAAGGGTGTGCGCAAGAAGCACAGACGTGCCTGAATTTTTACATCGCTATGGCACTACCATTACGCGCTGGGACGAAGTACTATGGTACTAACAACAGGAGTAGTCGATGAATGAGCAACACACGTTTACTTCGAATGTATGAGAAATCTCGGTTGACGAGAGAAACGCGTTGACACACGCAGCAGCTATCATGCGGTGCCAATGTGGCCACTGGTTGTCGGATATGCCCGCCTTCACGGCGGCCACCACGATACTATAGTCGGTTAAGTACACCATCGCAGCCTTCTCTATTAATCCCTGAACGCTGGAAATCGTCGCGGTCTGCACCGTCGCCGGCATGTTTGCGTTGAGGGGACGGTGCCAAAGTTGTCAATGTCACTCATCGTGGTTGTGCCGTAGACGGTGAGTTGAGTAATGAAAAGCCGGTCTTTTGCATCTAAATAAGCTCGGAGCAGCGACAACATCGTGGCACTTGCGCAAACGCCGTCCACGCCGTGCCATTCCACTCCGTTATGTTCGGATTGTTATTCGTGGCGAGCCTGTGCATCACGCGATTCTTTATCACTTGGGCGGATTTGACGGTTGATGCTGTGGTGGCCATGGTGTTGGTCAGCGACTTGTACGACCACGTGACCGCATAGGCCGAGTTAGCAAACTGACCCTAGAGTATTGAGCGCGAGAGCACGATTACTTCTACGAAATATTAACAGTGGTCGACAGCATCGAGGACGCTTTTTTGTGTAGCTGG